TCATCATATTCTTTAAACTAGTTTTTCCACATAGAAAACAGTGTTGGTTTTTAATACCATAGAGAATAAAGCAATATGTACTCGATCATAAGTTGATCTCGACAATTTATAGAAACAATATCACAATCAACATTGGAAAATAAATAAAAATCGGGGGATCGAACCACAGTAGTTAAGAGGTCTGTTAAGGCAAAAACGTTGATTGGCTGCCTCAGAGGGAGGGGAGGGGTAGAGGCGATGATGATTTAGTACCACTCACCAGAGGCGATTGCGCCATTCTTTCATAAAGTGGAACCAGAGGGCGCATTGCTAGTGGAACGTTGCTAAGTCGCCATGACAGGCGGAAACTGACGTGTAGTCATAACTCTTGACGACGGAAGTTGTGTGCCGCAAGAGGGTGTGTTGTAAGAGCATCCTTGCTGGGAGGGGTAGTCTCACAAAGTGAACGTTGGTATGATGAGTGTGCAGATAGTTCGCGAGTGATCAACAAAGGGTGATGTAGATCAACTTTATAGTAACAATGAACTTCTTAAAATTAATAATTTAATCTAATTTAAATAACTTTGTGCTTACAATTATCAATAAGAAAAACTATTTATCACAATCATAATTTCGCTTAATAAGCACAGCATTAAATTTGCTGTTTTCATTTTATCAACTTTATATATATGTAAAGGAAAACTTATAGGAAAACTTGTGCAAATGTGGACGGTGTTAAAGAAGGCATCGACATGTTTTTTTGTTTCAAAACCAAGTGATTTATTGATTAACAACCTGATTATAAGATGGAAAAGCATCATCGATAAGAATGGAGACTATTTGATACAATAAATGTTTTGTTTTGATATATAAGTTGTTCGGGTTTTTTTATCTAACAAAAAGCGACATTAATTTCTTGACGACCTAATAATATACTTAGGTTATAAGATAACGTTTTGATTTTTTTTTCAAGGTGTCATCCAAATGGACGGTAAACGACCATATTATGGAATTGGCCTAATTGTTTCTGCTGGTTTTTTCTTCGCCGTCGTTGGAGTATTAGTCCAGTTGACCAAAGACAGGATAGTTATGGACGTTATAGGCTTATCTCATGTAGTCCAAATAGTTATTATTTTACCTCTGATCATCCTAAAAAATGTAAAGTTCAACTATGAGCGAAGAACGATTCTGTTAACCTCTCTTCGTTGTCTTACTGGAGCGTTAGGAGATACTTTTCTTTATTATTCCTACACTCTTCTTCCTGTTGGCGACGCAGCTTCCATTTATTCTACAAATTCAGTTTTTGCTAATGTCTTTTCCGTTTTCATATTCAAACGTTCGTGTAAATGGCCGAAGTTTGTTTCCAGCTTCCTTTGTATTTTTGGAGTAGCTATTATTTCTCAACCAAGTTTTTTATTTGCATCAAACAAACACCTTTCCTTTAATTACAAAGGAGTTGCTGCGGCAATAGCTTCCTCTATTCTGGATTCGTTGTCTTACAACTTTAATAACCTTTTAGGTAATGTTGATCATCTTTTCCCTACAACAATTCTAACGATAAATATGATTCTCATGTGGGTTTTGAGTTTAATAAGCGATAAACGTCTTCCTGTGTTAGGGTTTTCAGATTGTTCCTGGACCAATCTGTACATCACTGGTATAGGATTGGCTGGTTTGTTAGCTTTACTTGCTACCACACGAGGATTTCAACTAGTTGAAGCTGGTCCAGGTAGTGTAGCTCTTTCTTCTATCATTGTATTTGGTTATATCCTTCAACTCTTTACTCAGGACTATTCCATTCGAGTCGTAAGTATTGTTGGGGCTGTACTAATTATCGTGGCTATTTTTATTTCATCTTCGAGTTCAGTGCACGATAAGAGCAGTATGTTCGAGAATGTGACTGAAGACATGAGCCAATCAGTAAACTATGAGGAAAACACGAAAAATGACATGTTTCAAGAAGCAACTGATTCGTGCGAGCTAAATTCATTAATTGAAGAAGGACTAAAAACTACAATATGAAGAACATCTATGAAGAACATCAAGTTCTGGAGTTTAATATTTTACTATTTAAACAATGTTCCATTTGAATTTTATAAACCTAAAGCACTTTATTAAGCCTACTTTTTACTGTTTTATAGGTTAAAAGACTAATAAAGATTTATTCTTGAGAGAAAAATACTGTATTGCTTGGAAGAGCGAAACAAATAAAGCCTGCATCATATAGTGTGGAATTTAAGAAGGTTGTATGGTTTACATGTGTAGTCCTTTACTCACCATTAATAACCTAAAATTCTTTAGGTATTCGGTTATCCAAAATCTTAAATATTTTATGTTATTAGTGGTGAGTAATGAGCAATACAATTAAACTTAGCAAATTATATGTTCATTATACTTTTTTGTTCTTGTTATTTTAATGCATATCTACACAATACAATATCTGCGCGCTGTCTACCTTTTAAGGCTGTTCAATTGTATTTCTCATGATTTGTCACCAATCAAATAAAGCGGTTTTCAACTCTCCTCAGCCTTAAGTGTTGTTAAGATGATTAACATCAAGTTTAAAATTAAGAAGGTTAGATTTCACCGCGTACTTGTGTCAAATATTACCTCACTAGCGTATAGGCCGTCAAAAATGACGGGCAAATACAGCCACTCTCACCCAACTCCATAGTATATTCTAACCTCACATTTCATAGCTAACTGAAATAAATAAATTTGCAAAATCAGGATTGACGAACAAAGAGGCAGAAAAGTGTATTCGAGGCAGTCAAACGTCGGTAAATTCCTTAAATAATTATTGTAAAAATCAGTTAGTTTAACAACTTCTAATACATAGAAAAGCTAGTGCGTTTTCGTAATATTACATTCCAACAATGGTTTTTATTTCATGTCGCTAAGACCAAAGTATAATCTAATATTGTTGTTAGTCCAAGTACTGAAAATATGTATTGAAAACTGGTAAAATATTTGTTGATTTCTTGATTTAGAGTCTCCGTTGATTAAAGAGATATTTTTTTAAAATAAAAACGTTGGTTATGTAACAGAAAATAACTTAATTCAGAAACGATTTAACTTTAATATTTAATTATTATTTTTACTTTCATGATAAATGGTATGCACTTGGCTTTAAGCAAGGTGATCCCACACAACGTTTTTACTTTAGGCTTATCATAACAACACACACTACACTTACAAGGTTTCTCGGCACCCCTTTTCCGGACGGCCCTCTGTCATCCCGTCAATAGAATCGTAGTGGACAGACAGTAATCGAACTATTCTCTCTGGATAAATGCATTTTGGCTTTTATCGCTCCTTCTATTTAGCGAAATCAAGCGTGACGTGACTCAACTGGCTTTTATATAGGTTAGATATTGAAATATTTGAAATAAATGGCTGATGGGGTCGAGGGCAGAAACCAAAAATTAAGAAAAAATTGCAAGATGAAACCAAGACAGAGATGAGAAAAAGAGAGTCATAAAAATATTCAACTTTTATAAACAGACCAAAGCTCTATGTGGTATCCCACGTACATTGCTCTTCTATAGTATACGTTTCATATCTGCAAAATGTTTTTTTAAGTTGTACGTGATATTCTCAGTTTCAAATTATAAGTATATATTTTTGACATCGTGACATCTGGTCAACTAGGATGTGACAACCTATATGCAGATACTGACTAGGAATCTTCAAAAGTTAACTGAATAAAGATATATTTCATACTAGTTGTGGAAAATATAGAAATTAGTGGGTGTAAGAACTACGAGTTATCCACTTGCATTATAAATATTGTAGTTTGGATGACTAAAACTTCTGAAAATGAAGTTGCTTAGTTGAGAAATATAACCTGGTATTTACTGTGGAAATATTATATTCTAAACTCTTTAACAATATAGCAAACTGTATATCTTTATTCAGGTATATCAGGGTAAAGTTTTAACTTTTTTACCCGTTGCCAGTGTTTGGTTAGATAATGTACATGAACAGAACATACGGAACGACGATAATCTCGCTCCCGATGTTCAGGACCTACACAACTGTTTCTGCTTTTGCTAGCGGCTTGTACACGAGATCATTATCTCTTTCCAGATTACTGGGACTGTTTTGTTGATGTCTGTGACGATTCTCTTTGTGAAGTAAAGCATAGTTTCAAATAAAAATAGTACCTTAATTAAAAATTTAATTTTTAATACTAACGAATGAAGTCGTCTGAAACTGTTTTGTGTCCAGTTGATCATAAATAGATATAGAAGCTGGCAAGACTAAAACAAGACTCAGATGTTTTCTTTCGTCATTTAATTAATCAATTAATATTTGTTTCGATGTGAACTCTTGTCTAGTTCGACTTTCTCCAACTCTGCATACAAATCTCTATATCTCTAAATTTGCGGACATAATACTTAACTGTCTATCTTAATTTCTACCTGAGAATATCACACTCCCCAACAGTCATAAAAAGAGAAGGCAGTAGTTTGTAGTAAATACAGGGATTGTTTGTAATCAAGTATAAACTCTTACTTCTGTATTGGTGTTGCCCGTGTACAACGCCACCTACGAGTTATTTAGTCTTCCACTCTATCTGTCTTTATATAAGTAAGTCTGTTTATACTAAAACTGAGAAGATTCACCAATATTATTCATCTATATTTCAATTTTCCAGTTCTTATAATCGTAAATTGTAACGTTGATTTTACTTAAAAATATTTGAAGTATTCTAATGAAATATGTTGAAAAGCATTTAGTTTATTTACCCTCTTTCACAGTTCTTTTCAAGAAGTGATCAGCTTATATAACAGTTAGCTTGTACGAAAAGAAAAGTGAATTTTAGTAGATGTTTAGTATGTGGCAAAGCTATACCTCTATATCCGGGTATTACTGTGACTACATTATTTATCGTAAAGATTTGCGTTCAACGCGAATATATTAGCTCTTAATAGATAATAGACTGTACGAAGACGACACAATGACCAGCACACCAACACATTAGGATCACACTTTAGGATTCTATACTTTAACTTTCAATTCTATTTATGCAAAGTTCAATCCAAATAAAAACTTTTGATGGTTATTTATTATTTTTATTACGCAAGGTGTCAAGACACAATTGATGATAGGCCTGCATTCAAGACTATTAGTTGTAAACGACAAAGTTTTACGACTATCACGACCATATCAGCTCTGATGATACATTTCGTGGAATTATTTTGGTTTTAAATAAATACAATCTTTATTTTAAAGAAGAAGAGTTTTCTTTTATGGGTTAAAATCATTACCATTGGAAACTAGGGTTATTGTGGTAGATCTTAACTTGGTTCATTATAATTGAGTATTATATTAGAGCGACGAAAAACCAAAAATCAGCTTACCTAGTCCAAACTTGAGTTACATATCCTTAAAAAACTTGTTTCTAAAACTGAAGATCTCTATTAAAAAAAATACCTTTATTGGATCTCACATGGGTCAAAATTTGTGTTCACAAAGTTTTGAAATCAGGCACACCAGCATAAAATACGTTTACGTATTAAATGATGTAATAGCTGTACATTGACGTAAAGTTGTTTGAACAATCAATTAATGAAAAAAAGGAGCAATGATTCTACGAAAATGGTGAAAACGTATAGTAATGTATTAAGTAGCACACAGCCTTAGCCTGTGACATAGCAGCACATTTTACCCCGATTTGTCAAGCTACATTTTATGATATTTTACAACAGATAGTAAAAAAAAAGATATGGCTTAAGATAAAACTGATGCACAACCATATTTATAAACAGAGAGCATCAGTAATATATGTAACTATTTTACAACACTGTAACAATCATGCTGAAAGATTAAGTAGCGTCGTGAAAGACTCATTAGTGAAGCTAATCACTGCATTGATACCTAATTCCTATGACATTCACATTTTCCATTCTCTACCAATGAGTCAGCCATGTATATTTGAAAGAGTTCTTAGTATTTCAAACCTTTTTCACGCCAGAAATATGCTCAAAAAATATATTTTGAACTAGTGAATGGGAAGACAGGAAAGTTGCTTTCAAACAGTCCATTGAAGATATCCAGGAAATAAAGAGAAATAAGTAAAACATGATGAACATCGGCATGTATATATAAATGTTGTTGATGTCCTGGAGAACGGATTCTCTATGACTGGATGAGAAAAATATATCTCTGTGTTAGTATATATATGTGTGTGTTCCTCTAACATCCAGTTCCCTTTTGTGCGATCACTGTTCTGTTAAATACAAAAAAATATGTATACTTTTTGGTAAGACAAACATATAAATCATATTTTAATATACACATTCCAGTAGCCAGTATACAATGATTTACCTAAGGATAAGGCAAACGTGTACTAACTTAAAATTTTGATATATTACAGCAGACTATATGAACACACAATAGTAGTGGATACTGCACCATTCAATTTAGGTGGACAAGACAAAAACTAAACTCAGACCAAACATTACATGACTCAAATATAGCGATAAATTAAATAACGAAAGAAGAGTTACCAAACACGACACTCAAAACACATCTTAAATAAATTAATAAAAACACAATAACATAAGAAAGTGGAAAATAGTCCTAGAAATTAATCACATTGCACGTGAAGCAATAAAACAATAAACCAAAATCTATCACCACATTATAGTATTACACAATCTATTACAATTGACATTTACTTCAACATATGATTGAAGTGATCAATACACTAAGATTTAAAGTTAGTTCAAGAGAGGTTAAGTAAAGGTAAAGAGGTAAAAGTGTTATGGTAGGCTTATACACTAAAGGCTACCTTACAAATGTGGAAGTGATTGGCAAACAACCTAATTCCAAGTGTAAACTGTTTATGACCGACAAATGTTGTAAAAAAACAGAGGCAACTTTTATTTTATTGGTATTTATGTCGTAGAATTAAGAGACACCAGACCAAGTTTTCTTCGACCAGTGAAGTAATATTTGATGTTTTCTATTCCTTATCCAGAAATGCTAGGCCTAATAGTTAGAACACTCGTTTCGAAACCAGTCACCGAACATGCTCGTCCTTTCTGTTGTA